GCTAGTGGGGCAAACCCTGACCAATGGGTTCTTTGGAGTGGTGACCGCATTAGCTCTTCTCGTCTTTCTTTGCTTTCGCCTCAGGTCCTCGAGAAGGTGTGGCAGGACCCTCTCGACTTTCTTGCAAGGCCGGTGCGCTGAATGTCGCCCTTCCTACACCGTCCTTTGACCTCCCCTCGGCCTCGTCCTTTGACCTCCCCTCGGCCTCGTCCAAAAGCTCGAGGTAGATCCCACGGACAGCCGCTGGCAAGTCAAGCACAATTGGCACTTGCAAGAGCGCCCATGAGCTGAAGCCGAGAATCTGCGGAACGCAAACGCGGTTTTCGTCTTTAAACACGAGTACGTAAGTCATGTTACATGTCTGGGACTTAAGATATCTTGCAAGATATTGAGAATCTCTTGCTGTGGATTTTTTGTACCTACATTGGTGTACAAAGCAACATGTGCTGTGCAAAGACAAAAGACAGGCAGATTTTCTGAAACATGATTCGGTTTTGGGGGACAGGTGTGTGCTGGAGCAAATGTGCTCTGATTGATGACCTTTGCCACTGCAGGTTTGCTTTGTCTTGTGCAAGGGGCCATTGTAGGCATGTTGGTCTTCTCTTGTGAAGGCTTGTGTGGTGATATTTCATGTTGCTGGTGCTGTTGGCTGCAAAGGAAGCACAGCACCAGACACACAAACAAGAGCCACAAGAGCTTTTTGTGACCATATAGGAGCATTAGTGCTGGCACAGCCATGACTCCAAATGCTGTGAAAGCCTTGGCAGCCCTGAGAGATGAGAAATCTCTTGGCATACAAAACAAGGCCAGGAAAATGCTGCATGTGCTGGCAAAACAAAACATGGCTTGGTATATGAGCCGGAGATCCACACCAGCTTGCTCAGTGTGCATCCACACAATCGCTCTGGTGGCATGGTCAATGCTGCTGATGTGCGTAGCAGAGGATCCCAAGCTTTGAAGGTTGGATGGGCGCGTGAAACGTTGAGTGAAAGCTGGTGCATAGAGCTCAGCTCTGATTGCAGCGCAAGGGAATCCCAGCTCAAAGCCATGCAGTTGCTGGTAGAAGGGGCTGTTCGCAAACTTGCACAGCTCAGTGGTAAAGAACGATGGTTGACTTTGAGCTCAAGCCATATGAGCCAGTTTGTGAGAGCTGTCAATGCTGGACGCAGAACTGAACAGGAAGCCTTTGGTTCTCTCTGCAGAGCACATCGTGCAAGAATACAAAGATTGTGCTTTTGAAAAAGCTTCGAACACTGGCTGGAATTGGAAATGCCCGGCTGCTGTAGTTGAAACTGCAGCCCCATGGTTGCCAGCCTTTTTGCAGGCAGCTTTCAACTCCTCCAACTACATTGCTGGCCAAGTGACAGAGATGGAGCTAGCCATGTCAATGGCTATGACCTATTCCAGAACACATAATTTGGAAGAGTGTGGGCAAGATTGCCAAGCCGATTCACCCTTGACAATGCTGCTGGGAGAAGAACTGTTCACTGCGATAGTGAGGACAGACTTTGGGAAAGAGTCTTCTTTCCCCATGGTTCGATGTAGCCCAAAGCAGAAGGATGGCTTCAGCAGATTGCTGGTCCGATCTGACATTGGCAAGATGAAGTCTGCTGGCAGCAGAGAGAATTTGATGCCCATGATGCCCAAAGAAAAGATGGCTTCACTTCTCCTGGAAGCTTTGCAAAAACCCCCAAAGGTCTGCTCCACAAGGACTATGTGAAATTGTTGGGCCGCTTCCTGATCAGGGCTGCTTTGTGGCTTTGCAAGAAAGAAGGTAAGGGAAAGTTCTTTAATGAGTACTATATATTCAATATTTGGTCTTGTGGAATTTGAGTTCCGATTCTGAATTCAAATTCTATAGTTATAATTTTGTAGTTTGAATTCCGAATTTCAAAAAATGTGAGATTTGAATTCAGAAATTCAAATCTAACATCTAAAAAATTGAATTCAGGATGTGAATTCAAATCTAAAAGATTAAGTCTTGAATACGAAGTTCAATTTTTAAAATATTTTTTATGGACGGTGCGATGCTGGCACAAGGTTTTGTGGCCTGTGCAAAAATGTGTTTTCCCATTCTGAAGATGATGATGGTGTCAGTGAGGTGACCTGGTGGACATCTTTTTGCCAGCTTCAATTGACAGAGTCTGAAGAGGTCTTTGCTTCATGGGACAGGATGGCAGGCAGATGGTCAACACGTTCTGCTGGAGAATTCAAAACATGGCCGCAGGCTGCTGGCACAACTTTCTCCCCAGAAGCAGTGCTGGCAGACAGGACTCGGAGGGATGTCCTGGACCCACGCAGGCAATACAAACATGATTGGGCGCACTGTTTGTGCTCCAATGGGATTTTATCCATTGGCGTATATAACCTCATGGAAGAAATGGACCGCTGGAAGTACTTTGGAGACTATGTTGGTCTGTGGGCCATCCCAGGCCAGTGGAAACAGAGTGGCATCAATGTGCAAAAGCTGTTTACAGATGAGAGAGTGCAAAAACACAGAAAAGGCAGCAACTTCAGGTGCGCTGCCAGTGAATTAACCACTGTTCTCCCAATCTTGGTGCATTACATCAAGAAAGTGTGTGTAGAGCACATGGTGAAAGAAGCTGAATGCATTCAAGTGCTGGCACTTTTGGTGGACTTGCTCCAAGCAACTTGGTCGATGTCAGTTGAACGAAGCTATCCAAAGGGCGTCAGAAAAAGCATTGCGTTTGTGGGTTGGCATAGGCTGGAAAGTCATCAAGAAGCATCATTGGTTGTTGCGTTTGGGGCAGGCGTTCAAAACCCACAAGGTCATGGTGGCATGTTGGACAATGGAAAGAAAGCATCGATTTGGGTCACAAATTGGCAGTGCTATTGCCAATACCAGCAAGCTGGAACAGAGTGCGTTGGAAGAAGTTGCAGCCAAAGAGTTACATGCCCTGACTGGTGAAAGCACTTTTCTGTTATGGAGCACCAATTAAAAAACAACCACAAATTGCCCCACAAGCTGGCTGGCACAGTGGGGCACTTGTGGTCAATGGTGGATGTGAAGGTGGTCGCTACAAGTCACACAGCTTGGCTCCAGCATGGGGCTTCCTGCTCACAAGGAGATGTGGTGCTCTTGAGCAATGATGGGTCTGGGAGGCGGGCTGGACAAATTCAACTGCATGTGGCTTTTGCTGGGCAAAGCTTCTGCTTGGTGGCTTTGTTGTCTTTGCTGGAGATTGGCAAGGAATACATATGCTGTGTGGCGCAGCAATCCCAGCCAAGTTGCAGCAATTCCTTTGTGCCAGGTTTTGTCCAGTTGTGTGTATGCGCATAATGACCAAAGAGTCACAACTTTGATTCCATTGCCCTGGAGGTAAATTGTGCTTTGCTGTTGCAAGGCTTTCTTGCAATACAGGCTTCTTGTTGGCAGCTTTCTTGCCATTACAGGCTTCTCATTGGCTGCCAGTACAGGCTTCTTTGGGGCTGGCGTTGCCAGCATATGCCAAGTAAAGTCAAATGTTGTGAAATCTTTACCAGCTTCTTGTACATTTTTTTTGGCAGGCAAAGGCCTGTTTCCATTGCGTGTAATGATGGTTCCACTTCAGTGCATTCATAGCAAGCTTGTTGTTCCACAGCGTGATTTTCATCGGCTAAGTATTTAGCTTTAGCTCACCACTTAGCTAACTATTTAACTAATGACTTAGCTAAAGCAGCTAAATGGTTGATAATCCGGTAGATAAATAGTATATTCATACTAACCCACTACAAAAGCCAAAGAAAATCAAAGCATGTAATAAGCTGTGACGTGATGTGAGTTTCATCGTGACATGTCGCGACATGGCATGCGTTAGCTTGTTTTGATTTCCTTCGTCTTAGCCCCCTGCCAGGTACTGAAAGAGCAACTTCGTTCCACCCACCGATGTTACTCCTCTGTTCGCTGCGTTAGAAAGGGGAATATTTGCAGACGCACTAACCGGTTCATTTCAACTCGTGCTTTACGTTCATTCCACTTTGTTCTTCCGGGTGCCCACGTGGGATCTAGTTTTTTAAAGTTTTTTGTTTTTGCGGGCGAAATCTGTCCAACCCAGCCACGGCAGCCAGACTAAAAAACCTCACCAAAACTAGCGCTAGTCTCCTTCTGTTCTGCCGAACTTGCTTGCCAAGCATCCTTGGAACCGTCCTGCAACCCACACTGAGGGGTGGAATTCTTGAACAAGAGGGACCCCTATGCCTTAGGACTTGTGTGCACTGTGCACAGAATCACTTTCACCCAAGCAGAAATCACATCTCCAAAAACGCACCCACTCGCAGAGAGCAGCGATTTCTTCCTGTTCTGCCGACGTTGCTGGCAAGGCATACTTGGCACCATCCTGCAACCCACAATGGAGAAAAGGGTCTATACCTAATCATCTTCGCTGAAGCAGCAATCACATCTCAAATGAAGGCTCACCTGCAGAGAGCAGCAATTTCCTCCTGTTCTGCCGACGTTGCTGGCAAGGCATCCTTGGCACCATTCCGCAACCTACAATGGAGAAAAGGGTGGAATCGTTGCCAAGGACCTCTATGACTTAGGACTTGTGAGCACTCTGCGTCCAATCGCTCTTACGTAAGCAGACATCACACTAAAAAAGTCTCCTGTTTGCCGACTTGGCAATCTGGAGTAAAGAGAACGCCAGGACATTGGTTTTTGAAACAGGCAAAAGTCCTAAGTCATCAGGCCCCATACATCGAGCAAGAGAGTCCACAACCGTCCATGACATACGACTATTGCAAAGGATAAAGACATAGTGACGTTCCTGTGACATGTTCCCTTTCATTACCTCTAATCTTCCAGGAAGAGGAAACGAAAAAAAGAAAAAAGTGATGACCGGGTCAAACTGGCCTATGTCGTGAACGCCTGCCAGTGAAATGAAGTGGCAAAATTTTCCACTCTACATGACTTAGCACTTTCTCTGGCAAAGTTGTATGTCATGTCTGGCCACTTTGGCCTAAGTCATCTGGCCCCAGTACATGTTCCATGTCATTTCGCTGAGGCGACCGTTTCCGGATGCCTTGCGTCCGACAAAGCTTTGCGCGTTCTGGATGCAGGATCCATGGATGTGTCAAAAGGGCGAGCAGTGTACCTTCGCACATGGCCTGCCAGAACTGTAGCTTGGCATTTGTTGGGAGAGTGGGGGAATGTCTCAGCCGATGTCGAATGTAAACGCAGAGGATCTCTGAGGGCAGTTGCCAGCATGTTGGGAGGGTTTTGGAAGAAAATAGGCCATTTGGGCGACTGAGATTTGTATATGAAACGTTTTGGAAAGCTTACGCGGACACGTGAGGTAGGGGCGTTTTTTTTCCGCAAGCTGGTCAGACTGGCCGATATTGAGTGTCGTCCAAGATGCGATGCACAAGTGGGATAGGGCGTCCCGCGTCCCTGGATTTTTCCCCAATAGCCATGCTATGGGGTCTTGCAAAACTAATAGGCGGACGGGCGCCGTCGGGTCACCGTCAGAGCTGGTGGGCGGATGGTGTCCCGGTCATGTTTTGATGGCGTCCGGGTCATGTGACGCTGGTGTCCCGGTCATGTTTTGATGGTGTCCCGATCATGTTTTGATTGTGACCCAATCATGTTGTGATGGTGTCCCGGTCCTGTTTTGATGGTGTCCCGTGTGATGGTGTCCCGGTCATGTTTTGAAGGTGTCCCGGTCATGTTGTGATGGTGTCCCGGTCATGTTGTGATGGTGTCCCGGGCATGTTTTGATGGTGTCCCGGTCGTGTTGTGACGGTGTCCCGGTCATGTTTTGATGGTGTCCCGATCATGTGATGGTGGCGCGGTCATGTTGTGATGGTGTCCCGATCATGTTTTGATTGTGTCCCAGTCATGTTGTGATGGTGTCCCGGTCCTGTTTTGATGGTGTCCCGGTCATGTTGTGATGGTGTCCCGGTCATGTTTTGATGGTGTCCCGGTCATGTTGTGATGGTGTCCTGGTCATGCTTTGGCGGTGTGCCGGTTATGTTTTGATGGTGTCCGGGTCATGTGGCGGTGTCCCGGTCATGTTGTGATGGTGTCCTGGTCATCTTGTGGTGG